GCGCAGCGGTTGAATGCTGGGTTGCAAAGCTGCCCGCAGCCTCTGCAGCGCCGGTTCTATCCCTGGCCACCGGGTGAGGGTCCCACATGGTGCACAGACCTCTCCTGCCACCTGCTGCTCCCCTCAGCAGTGTGCTTCGGTCCTTCTGCCTGCTCTGCTCCCCGCTCTGGCTCTGGTGAATCCTCTCACCCTCCCGCGCTTCTGACTGTACCCAGTGCTTGTATAAATAAATAAACCTTTAAAAAAATATTTATTTATTTATGCATATAAGAGGTGGGGTACAGGCCAGAGATGCAGGGAGTGAGAGGATCCACCAGAGACAGTGCTGAGGGGAGCAGCACGGGAGACAGGAGAAGTCTGCTGCACTATGAGGGTTACTCCCTGGACGGCTGGAGATCAAACTCGTGCTGCAGAGGCTGTGGATTGCTTCATAGTGCAGTGCTTAACCGCTTGCGCCACCAGAGAGACCCACACATCTGCAATATTCTTAAAGTGTGCCTATATCCTTTCTTCAACCAAGCTGTTTGTGCAGGGATTGGCAAACATCCTCTCTTAAAGAAATTCAGTAAAATATTTTAGGCTCTATAACGCATATATCGTCTCTGTTGCATATTCACTTTTTTTCCTTTAACAATCCTTGAAAAATTGAAAACCAGTTTCAGTTCAACAGCCTTCTAGATTTTTCCTGTGGGCACTACCGAGCCCTGCTCCAGGGACTTCTCTGGCAGTAGAACATGGGCATGTAACTGCATTTAAGTATAAGATTGTGTGGGCCTCAAAACCCTAATTTAGGATTTCTTTTGGAGAGTGAGGTAGGTTCTTGCAGAGGAATCCTGAGCCAGACTTAAGGCAGGATTTCTCTCCATTTGTCTCTACTCTGCTCCCCAAACAGTGAAGAACTAGACAAAATTGGCATCCTGGGTTTAAAAAGTGACTATTTGCAGTAGGAAGTCTTAAATAAGATCTATTTATTTATTAATTTTTGGTGTGTGGGTTTTTTTTTTAAGATTTATTTATTTATGCATACAGGAGCTGGGGTACAGGCCAGAGGTGTGGGGGGTGAGAGGAGTCACCAGAGTCAGAGTGGGGAACAGAACAGGCAGATGGACTGAAGACACTGCTGAGGGGAGCAGTGGGCAGCAAGAGAGGTCTGCGCGCCATGTGGGACCCTCCTCCAGTGGCCGGAGAGCAGCCGGGGATTGAACCGATGCTGCAGAGGCTGCGGGCAGCTTCACAACCCAGTGCTCAACCGCTGCACCACCGGGAGGCCCTTTTTTTTTTAGATTTATTTATTTATTTATACAAGAAGCGGGGGCAGGCCAGATGCGCGGGAGGGTGAGAGGATTCACCAGAGACAGGGCAGGGAACAGAACAGGCAGACTGATGAAATACACTGCTGAGGGTGTTGTAGAGCAACCCCGATACAAAAAGGGTGCCTGACTGTGGGTCCTCACCCGCGCGCTTAAAAGGACTTACCAATGCTCTACTGCAGGCACACGTGAAAGTTTAATAAAAGGTTTATTTACAAGGGAAGGGGAAATGAGGAAATGTACAGCTCAGGGAGAAAAGTGGGAGACAAAGTTTTAAATGACTCCTACCCTATCCGCTGATCAGGAATCCCAAAATGGCGCTCTGAGAGCTGGCTGCCAGCCAGGAGCTGTGTAGCCAGGAGGCGAGCGACAGCGAGACAGCCCAAGGCCCACGTGTTTGGTTTTTATACCCAACCTGGCTGTTTAACTCCACCCTCAGGTCCCAGCCACCCTCCCTTTGGTGGTGATGGGATTTGTCTTTCCCAATGTCCTGATGGCTTTAGTCTGGAGTGGGGGTGGAGTCCACAAAGCCTTATGGGATTAGCTCAGGACATCCTTTCCCCCTAACAAGGGGAGCAGTAGGCGAGACAGGAGAGGTCTGTAGTGCCATGTGGGATTCTCGCTGGCCGGGCTGGGATCGAACCCGTGCTGCAGATGCTGCAGATGCTGCAGACAGCTTCACAGCACTGCGCTCAACTGCCTGTGCCAACAGGGTAGGCCCGATACTGGTATCTTCTTTTTGGGTTTCTTTTCTTTTGGGAGGCTGACTGCTTTCATGAATGAAAGGCCACACTTGGGGCAGGCATCCCCTTTCAAGCAGCTCTGTTGCTGATTACTGGTCTCTCTTCATAGGCCTTCAAAGTGTTGCCTTTTTGCTGTCACTGGGGTGCAGCAGTGCTGGGAGTACTGCAGGATTCTTTGTGGTTTCTGTCTGTCTTGGCCACATCTTTTAAAATAGTTCCTTTACGATACTCTCTTTCGATGATCTAATTAGAGTTTGCTGTTTGGGGCTGAACTGATAGAGTCAACAACTTATGAAATTCTACATTTGAGCAAACAGTCACAGAAAATTGAAGTAATTTGCCCAAGGTCACACATGGGAGGAAATAAGGCGTGAAGAATGTGTCACAACCATTCTTTTATTTATCAATTCTAAATTAACTGTCATTGTTTTTATTACAAAAGAAATTTTATATCAAATATACAATACAAAGAAGTGAAATGAAGAGAAGAAATACTATTATTTCCACCCATCCATTCCACCCATTGTTTGTTTAATAAGACTCCCACATTTTTATCTCCTATCAAACTCCTGCTTTGAATCTCAGAGATTTTGTTTGTCTACTCTATAACCTTCATTTGAATGTCCCAAAGGAACTTGAAACTCTACATGTCCAAAAACAAACTCATCATCTTACAAATCCTACCTATAACTTAATCTTGTCAATGTCACATGTAAATGTCTCTAATATGTCTGCATTTTCCAGCTCCACTGCTACCATTCGCCTTGGTCCACATCTTTCTTTAAGAATTGCAAATTTTGGGCCTCTCCTGGTGGCACAGCGGTTGAGCACTGGGCGGCGAAGCCGCCCACAGCCTCTGCAGCGCCGGTTCGATCCCCGGCCACCAGAGAGGTCCCACATGGCGCGCAGACCTCTCCAGCCATGCCCGCTGCTCCCCTCAGCAGTGTACTTCGGTCCTTCTGCCTGTTCTGCTTCCCTCTCTGGCTCTGGTGAATTCTCTCACCCTCCCGAGCTTCTGACTGTACCCAGTGCTTGTATAAATAAATAAATAAATAAATCTTTAAAATAAATAAATAAACATTGGGGAAAAAAAAGAAATGTCTTTAAAAAAAAAGAATTGCAAATATTTATTTTCCTGTGTCTGTCCACTTTTGTTTCCTTGAACCTATTATTCACATTGCAGTCAAATGGATTATTTCAAAATGCAATGTAGTAACATTTCCCCTTACTTAAAATTTTGTAGTGGTTTATGCTATTTTAGAATACAGATCAAGGATCTTTGCCCCAGCTGATCTCAGCAGCCTTGTCTCCTGCACTTCTCCCCTTCCTATAGCTCCACTAACAGGCTATCAGCTATTTCAATGAACCACACTTCCTTATACCATAGGGTCTTTGCCCACCTTGTTTCCACTTTCTGAGACATTTTACACCCCTTCTCCCAAAGTTAACCTCCAGAATTGTTAGAGCACCCTAACACTCATCACTATGGGCATGAGGAGAAAGGTGGACAGAACCATTTTAGAAAAGGCAGGATCCTTTATATCTATTATTTCTTCTCCACTTCTCTCTTCAAAACAACAACTTAGTCTCTACTCCTTTTCTAAGAATATAAGCTATTAAAACTGGATCAAGAAAAGACTATATTTCAGTTTCTTCAAGACATCACTACAATGGGGGGGGGTTGGCAGGCAATAGACATGTTTATTGCTCATAAGAAATACTAGTTAACTTCCTAGAATTCTTATCACTTACTTGAATTCATGTGAATTACATCTGTTTTTGAGAAGGGGTCTGGTGATGAAAAATTCAGCTCTTGGGGGATAAGTGGAAATGTAATGAGGGGATAAAACTAGCAAGGCAGGAGGCTGGCAACACAGGAAATTATACACATTAAATCTCTCTCTTACCAGTAGGGTGGAGAAACATGTTTTGTTTCTACACTGTGGCAATCCCTTGACCTTCATTTTTAAACTGTGAGTCCCACTTAATCTGAGACAGATGACTTTAAAAATTATTTATTTTATTGTGGTAACATTGGTTTACAACACTGTGTGTAATTCAGAGGTGTAGGGATTCAGAGGTATAGGATTCCCTCTTCAAATGCAATTAACCACACCGCACCCAATACCAAGGTACCCCCAGTCCTCCTCCATACTCCACTATGTCTCTCTCCAATGTTTCCCCCTTCCCCATCCCCATATTGCAGCCTCAATTCCTCAGTCAGATTTCTAGGGTTTGTCACTGGTTTGGTATTGTATGACCTTTTGTTTAGTGTCTCTATATTCCACATATAAGTGAAACCATCCCATATTTGTATTTCTCCTTCTGACTTAAAATTAAGAACCTGACTTCTTAATTTCCTTGCCTACTTGCTCGATTTTGATTAAGCACCTCAGCCTGAAAAACCCCATAGAGAACCAATAACTGCCAAGACTGAAGGTGACAATCAATTCCCATGCCCCTCCCCCTAGGGCGTGAGTGCGGCTGCGCAGACCTTACCCGGCCCCCCCCCCTTGTGGCGTCACGGAAGGGCCAGACCAAGTGGGATGGCGGCGTTGCGAGCCTGACCACGTCCATTTCCTTCGAACACCGCTTCCCTAAGCCCACACGGGCCAGGATTCTTTTAATTAAAGTGTAAGAACAAAAGCATTGGGTTGAGAAGCGCGGGTGGCCCCGTTCTCACTGTACCGGCCACCGCGTCCCCCCCCGGTGGCGCAGGTCGACCATCCCGGGCGTGACGCCTTCCAGTGCGCGCCCGCTACGAGACCGCAGAAAAGGGGCGGGCGGCACCAGCGCCCCATCTCCCCGCACGCCCCGGAGTGGGCTGGGCTCCCGGGGAGGGCCTCGGGCAGCGCGGGTTGGAGATGAGCGGAGAAAAGCAGAACTTTGCTCCCCCCTCCGGGCGCACGCGCTCCGTAACCATGAGCGCGCACTCGCGGGCGGCCTCGCTGGCCTCCGCCAGTGGCGAGAGCGGGCGCGGGGCGGAGGGCGTGCTCGAAGTCGAGGTCACCTCTGCCCAGACCCCGGACCTCGCCAACTTGGACCCGTCCGCGTGGAGCATCCAATCTGAGTGGCAGACCGTCTCCCATCAGTTTACGAGCTCCAGGTCCAACCCATCTGCACCTGATTCCTCTTTTTCCGTTATCTGTAGCTCACCCTCCCACCTCAGCCACAGTCCTGACCAGAGGACTGACGCGGAGTCCAATATTGCCCCCTCGGGCACTAGTGCCCACAGCCTGAACGGCCAGCCCGTGCCCATGCCCGTCACCCGCTCGAGCACTACCGAGGGCGTCGCCCCAGCCCCCCAACCGGACCCCGGCAACTCCCGGGTCTCGGTACAAGGGTCCGCCTCGCCCCCAATTCCAGGCTCCCATAGAACATCAATGGCGGCACCTTCGCAACCTAGCAGCACGCGAGCGTCAGCACAGGAGACCGTCCCACCCACGTCCAGCTTAGTCACGCAATCTCCACCAGTACCTATTACTCCTAATAACACACCCCAAGTATCACTAGACAGGTTCGCCGAGCCTTCAGTGTTCGGCTCCCCCTGGGGTCCGCTACAGGGACCTCTTCTACCCAGTAACTACGCCCATGTGTCTTTACCTGGGACATTCCCAGCAGTACCCGACTCCCCCAGGTCGTCCTTACAAAGATCTCTTCCACTATCGGACTCTTCCCGAGCGTCTATACAAGGATTCGCTCCTTCCTCAGTGCCCACCTCCCCGGGACAGGATTCTCTACTAGAATCCGTTCCGCACACGGAATCCTCCCTAGTGTCTGTAGTAGGGTCTTCCCTGTCTTCAGTGCCCAGCTCCCTCCGGGATTCTTCACCCGCGACCTCGCGATTGTCAGCTCAAGTGTCCTCGGGGCCAAGTTCTCCTGGAACATCCGTGGGAGGATCGGCTCCGCCCCAGGGCTCCCCCCCAGTATCAGTACCAAGGTCCGCCCCGCCCTTAGTGCGGAGCTCTGCCGGGTTCTCGGAAGAAAAATCAGCTCCGCCCTTTGGTTACCCCCGAGAGTCAGTGGAAGGGTCCGCCCCACCCTTGGCCGGCCCCTCTCGTATACCCACGCCTTGGGGGAATCTCAGCCAGACCATGGCGAGTCCGGAGAAAGCGAGCACCGTGGGCCACATGTTCGACGTGGTCGTGATAGGAGGCGGCATCTCAGGTCAGTGTGGACTTTAGCGGTAGCCTGAGGGGCCCTGGCCCTGGGGAACGCCTAGGCATTTGCTGGGTCTCTCTTGAGTTTAACAGTACCTGACGTGGCCTGGGGTCCTACAAGGTGTGAGTGGGGGCTGGGTCAGCATTGCTGGTGGTGGGGAGTCTCTTTAAATAATTTACTACCACTACTATTAAATACTAACATTTAATTAGCTCTTGTTGTGCAGTTATGTTTCACAGATTGTAGGGATTTGCTCAGTCCCCAGCTGTCTTGTGATGTGGATACTATATTCGCCCTCATTTTACAAAATAAAGAAACTGAGGTCTGGGGAGTTTCATTAACTCCAGAGGTCAAATTGCCTAGGGGGAGTGTAGCTGAATGATTTTCTTCCATTTAAGGCCCTCTCTTCTAATTTCTAAGGTGACTGCTTTGCCCCACTGATTTCATGTCCTTTGCCCTGAACAGAACACCAGCATACAAATTTTTGTAGCATTGAGGTGATTGTAATGTTATTCCAGCCCTGCTCTTCTCTAATCACTTTTCCTTAGAAGATTCCCTAACTCAAGAGGGAGAAGGACAGAATGGAATCTTTTAGGAAAGGTTTTTTAAAGGTGGGCAGAAGGGTGAGCTCTTAGTTTTAACATACTCTTGTCATATTTTTTTAGAATTTGCAGGAAGGCGTAGGGCATTTATTGTCCAAAGGGAATCCCTTTCACGACATGAGTCTTGTCCTGTGACCTGGCCAGCCTGGGTTCCCCTGGTCCTGGTCTGGAAGTTTAGTTGACCTATTGAGTGGTGCTTGAGGTTTTTCAGGAAACCTCATCCTAATCCATATCAAATTGGCACTTATTTATCATAGTTGAGGAAATGTTTGAAATTTAGGACTTCTAATTCAGACCTACTTAGAATTCTACACTTATCTGTCTTTGGCCCAGGAGGGTGTTAATGATTTCTGAAATATATCTGCAGGATCTGATTTAGAGAGAGGGAGAAAGAAAGTGGGAATAAGAAAGTAGGATGGCCCCATAGTAGCCATTGTTATATACAATTCTTTTGAATTGTATATATTGAATTGTATATAATTCTTTTGAACTGTACATACTTGCACATTAATTTTGGGTGAAGATAGCTTTTGACTTGGCCTGTTGAGGATAAACAGTCTTAATCACCAGAGAAGAGACTGTCATGAGCTGTTGTTTTGACAGTCTCCAGCCAGTGCCAGCAAAAACATGCATGTATCTTGGAGCATTAGAGAAAAGCAGATCCTGGTGGAGAGCAAGAAAAAGAAAGTATTTTCCTTGTTTCCCTTCATTCACTTATTCATTCATTCACCAAACATTTGTGTGGAGTGCCTGCAATGAAGTAGGATGATGTTTCCAAAATCTAGTCCTAGGCAAACCTCCTAGAAGTAATATCATTATAGATTAATGGAAAATAAATATGATGATGAGTTGTTCTATAAATTGACTAGGAGTTCTGTCTCTTCTCCTGTATACCATCCATATTTTACAATTCAGTGTCCTTTCTGGGATTTTACTCCTTTCTTTATACTGTGGTCCAGTTTTCCTTAAGGGATGTTTTATCTTTTATTGTTCCTATGCCTGATTACTTGTTCTTTCTCCCTTTCTACATTTTGCTCCTAGTACTTGATTGTAACCAGAGGTGGATTTACCAGGTAACTGATTAACTTTATGCTTTATGGCCTTACAACCAGAGGTACCTTCTGGTTCTTATTCTCAATGAATAACCAGGTCTATACTGAATCTTACTCATAATTTTACATTCTTTTTTTTTAAGAGGGTACCCCATTTATTGTTCATTTCCATTTGGGGGAAATAAAGAGCATTTCTTGCACAGTAGTTCACTTTCCTATTCCAGAAGCCAAGTAGTATATCAATGCCAGTGGGAAAGGCATGGTGGGACTTCTTCTAATGTCATCTTTATCAGTCAGGTTGGAGTGATTTTAATATCAAAACTGACCAGAAACGTTCCTTTCTGACTGTGGCACCTTCCCAGATGGCTCATAAACAGAAATGGATGCAAGTCTGACTTAAGATTAAACTCTGGGTGCAGATTAGGTGTTTTGTGAGCAGGTGAGAAGGATCGCTTCCCAAGCATTCCTGAGAACTCAAAAACACATCATCTCTGTGTTTGCTTAGTAGTATCCCATAAGTTACTTAACAGTCACTATTTCAGTTTTAAATGTTTTTGGATTTTTTTTTTAACTTTAGTCAGGACTTACACACTTTGGTATGTTACCCCCACACTTATAGTAAATGGCCAATACTTAACATCTGCATTATTATCTTATTATATAACAAAATAGCTTCCAGAAGAGTATAGATTCTTAATGGCATTCCTCAAAATCAATTCCTATTAACAGAAATATCTTTCATTTTAAATAATGATCTTTGACTACATAAATAATAACATTTCTCTATATTTGTAAGTAGTATACCTTTTATATATTCTGGCCCTTATCCATCATCCACCATCTAGCACCTGTTTCTTTTCGAAACTCCTTTAATGTTTCCTGTGAAATTATTGGATTCTGAACTTTTACAGCCAACACTGATTGCTCCTTTTCTATCCCTTTCATTTTGCACATATTCTTGTGAACTCCTAGCTTGGAAGTGGCCGGAGGCTCAAACGTTCATCAGTTTTAGGCTCTTAGGCAAACTCTTCCTCCCTTATCCTAGGAGTTAGACTTTCCCTTATCTGTAGAAGGCTCTTAAGTCTCTAATTTGGATTCTTTTCCTTCTCTGAACTCCTTTCTGGTAGCTTCTGTGCTTCCACATATTTCACTTGAATGTCTTCTTACTTCATATTCTACTTGTCCAAAAGCTACTTTCCTTGTCTTCCTAAGTTCCTTGACTCGGTTCTTGGCACCACCATTCTTTTCATCCTTTTCTTTCATCTTCTATACCCAGTCAACAGATCTTTGTAAGTCATCTTTTGGGCTATTTCTTTTCTACATTTGCAGAGACTCCCCAGTCATCTGGCCCAATTTTGTTGGACAAGTAGCATTTCCTACTATCCCCAGTATAGACTTGACTTTTAGTCACACCACTCTTGTCTTCAGTGGTACACCAGGTTTACATTGTCCTGCCATTCCTTTCCTGTTTTGGTTTTTCTTAATATGGAAGTGCTTCTCTGTGACTTTTTAGTCCCATGCATTCTTCAATCCCTGATTAAAGATCCTTTTCTTGATCACTCTGACCCCTCTTGACTCCTGTCTCCTCTTACAGAGCTTGTGATCTCTAACAATTCATACTTATTTTCTGTCTCTCTTTTTTTTTTTTTGTGGGACCCTCTCTGGTGGCCGGGGATGGAACTGGCGCTCAACCTCTGCGCTACCAGGGAGGCCCTCTGTCTGTTTCTTGATGTTACTTTAAGTAGAATGGTTCAGTCACTAACTTTACATGCTAGTTCTCATTCATGAGCTGACACAGACATAACAAATGAGAGAAAACCAGTAGTAAAAGAATTTCAAATCTGCCTTTCACTGAGAATTTCTGAATTGGCTTTCTTTAGGGAGACAAATAAAGCCCACCTCCAGAGGACAATGCATGCATCAGTCTCAGGCCAAAAGGGGTTGAAAAAGTAGACTATCCGATTATTTCACTAAGCATAATACCCTCCAGTTACACCCATGTTGTTGCAAACTGCTGGATTTTCTCTTAAAAAACAAACAAATGAATGAACTAACAGAACTGAACTTGTAGACTATGTAGCCAAATAGTGGTTACCAAAATGGGAGGAGGGAAGGAAGTGGAGGGGGGAGATCAGGTAAAAGTGGTCAGCTGTTATGGGGAAGGGTAGAATTGGACTTTTAGTGGTGAACTTAATGTAGTATATACACATGTTGATTTATAATGATTTGTAATGCTGTCTACCTCAAACTTTTGTAGTATTAAAATATTATGTTACTTCAATAAAAAATAAAAAGAAAAGAATGTATTTACAAATTTAAAAAGGCATTCTAATCCAATCATGTAAGATTTTAATTCTCTTGGCATTATCTCCTTAGTGATTGGCTGTAGCTTTGAACATATCTAGGGAAAAGCAACTCATAAGTGAGGTGGTTCTAATGCCTAAACTCATTAAAGCATTTTAGGAACGTCTACCATATGCGAGACAGTGGCTAGATCAGGGGGAAAGCATATGTGAGATGAGTAGGTAGTGTCCCAGGGCATAAGATGCCCCATCCTCTTGCAAGTAGTAGTCAGGTGGGAAAATAATTGACATTAAACTGGTGAAAGAAATAATAATGTTATGAATTGAACAAAGTACTGGGACCTTGAGAGAAAAGGTAGAATTTTATTTGGTAGGGATAAGGGGACTGAAAAAAAAAACATATCCAACAGGAGAGACTGGAAGAGTGCAGATATGGCCATTAGCAGTGTCTGATATAAGCCCCTGGCAAGCATTTCAGGGAAGGAAAATAGTTGCCTATTATGCCTGTAAAGATGTGATCCCAGTAGCTGTTGAGATGACCCCCATGCACCACATCCTCTCTTGACTTTTGTGCCTGTGAGTGTGAACAGTGAGTGAGTGCACAGTGAAAACACTTTAGTCACAATGCTGGACAGTCCTGGGTAATTAGAGGGTTTTTCCATTTTTTAAAAAATTAAATTACAAGTCATTTAAAAAAAGAAATTATTTCCAAATAGCATCTAAGTAATAGAACTCCCTTTTATCTTCAGTGAGCTAAGCTCCACTGAAAGAATTGAGTATACTAGCTGCCAAGAGCTTGCTGCTGTATAAATTCAGCAAGGATCGATTCTTTCTCATCATCTGAAATGGAAGAGCCATTTTGCAAGATTGACTAATGTTCTGAATTCCAACATTTGAGTCCACAACATACCACAATTTCCCTTTTTGTTATAATCACCCTGAAGAATCACTTCTGCTAGGATCATTGTAGGCATTAAAGCCTTGAACTCGGCAGCACATTATGTGTGGTTTTGTAATGATTAAGAAACGCTTATGTTAAAAAACATACT